AATTTAACATTTTTTTTTATTAATGGTACTAAATCAAATTAATATTCAAATTAAGCAACCATTTTTCGTGTAAACTCATCTTTGACATTTCTTCCAATATAACGCAATTTAGCTCCCACCATTTTCCAAGTTATTTAATCCAACTTAATTAACATGTATATGTCTCAATCAAAATTACGTTATCTTATCGAGTATTACTAGTTGAATGTTATCTGGATATACGTTAATTAAATTTAAAAAAAATCGCTGAAGGCAAAATATTCTTCCCTCGTCACAGTGATAGATTTCTGAGAGAGAGAGAGAGAGAGAGAGAGAGAGAGAGAGAGAGAGAGAGAGAAGGAGAGACAGCTAACAATTATTTTACAATTTATTTGCACATTTTTAGCCTAATTGATTTTATACAGTTCGTCTATAATTTACGACTCTTTCGACTATTCTCAACTATTAAAAAACTCAACTATTAAAAAGAGAGAAGTATTTATAAAGTGAACTCTAAAAATCCAAATAGCACAACTGATTCATTTTTTAACTTGAAAAGTACTCACCTTCTTAAGTTCTTTATGAATTAGCGTAAATCTGTTCGAAATGAACTCGATCAAGAAGTATTCACAAATATATGTATACAAATATATTTACTTGTATATCCCTATAAGTGCATAATATTATTTAATATAAAATAATATTTTAGGCATATTCTTAGAATATTAAATGTAACATTTTAATAATATTTTATTAAAATTATATAATATTACATATTCTCGAAATATTAAGGGGATCCTAAAGCCGTCTGTATTATCGACTAAATCGTAATTTTTGTATAACAAATACTTTTTTTCTCTTTCACAGATTCGAAAATCCTTTTCCAGGATTAAAGTATACACATTAATACGTGTTTGTGAGGTGGAGTTTATCCCGAGAAAGAGACAAAAAATTTCGAAATTGAAAAATCTTAAGAAAAATTTTTTATCGTTCTCGGCATAAACTCCACCTCACAAACACGTATTAATGTGTATACTTTAATCCTGGAAAAGGATTTTCGAACCTGTGAAAGAGAAAAAAGTGTTTGTTATACAAAAATTATGATTTAATCGGTAATACGGCTTTAGGATCCCTTTAATGGAAGGTTATATGTCCACTCATAATATTATATGATTGCTAAAAGTAATATTTATTTAATGTTACTTTATATCATATAAACATTAAAAAGTATTATAACAGCATTTACTTTAATTTGTAAAATTTTTACATCTGTTCAGTATAAATATACGTTTAAAAACTGAAAATGATTTTGGCGCGTAAATGTAGAAACAGAAGTGTTTTTTTAGCACAAGATGCAGCATAGACTGATAAGAACTTTTCGTTATTGGATTGTGAATTCAAATTGCATAAAATTAAAAATAATTAATATTTATAAGTTTTAATAATATTTCATGAATATTAAGATATAATACCTAGGGTATTATATAAGTGGACATATAACCTCTATAGAATACTACCGTGATATTAAAAAAATATTTATGGTATTCTCGAAATATTATAATAACATTTTAATTTTTTAATAATATCCATATAACATTCTAGGAACATTTTGCGCTTATAGAGATGTTACTCTTAATAAAAGTAATATTTAATTTGCATAATTATCAAAATATGATTTATTCTTATACGAAATCAAGAAATAGAAAAAGACTAGAAAAAGAATGTAAGTACTTTTTGAATCTGAAAAAAAGAGTTCACAATTGGTGACATAAAAGTGAAATCTTTTAGAACTCTTAGAAATACTGTAGAATAGAAATGAAACGAAAAACAGGAATTCGTTTCGTAAATCGGGAATAAAAAGAATTCTTTCCGGACTTTCTGTGCTATCTGAAGAACTTCTTCACGATGCCTCGTACAAGTTTTTTTTTTCAAATTGATAAAGCAGTCTGTTTTCGATGTATTCTTCTGAGAATTGCTATACTTTGTATACATATAGAATATCGATCGTATTACACTAATAATTAATGAGACGTATTTCAATCAGGGTTGGGTGAGTTAACTTTTTTTTAAACTAAGTTAAAATTAACAGCCCTGAAAATTTATCTTAATTAAAATACAAATTAAAATATACAAGTTTATCCATAATGAAATTAATTGAATTAAATGTTAATAAAAAAAGTAATTGAAAAGGTAAAAGTTAAATATGATCCGAACAACCAAAAAAAAAGAAAGAAAATTTGACTATTATACATAATTTTTCGTATTTTTTCTTTCTCACAGCATATTCATTAAAGAATCTGGTTATTTTTGTTCATTATATTTTTGTTCACAAGTAACATTATACAATATAAAATTACTAAATTATATACTCATTATCCTTTCGCATTGTGTCTGAGGATTAACTTAAAAAAAATTAAATTAAAAGTTAATAGTTACTGATAAAATGTAACTAAATTAAGTTAAAAAGTTAAGAGTCTAAAATTTAACTAAGTTAAGTTAAAATTAATTAACTTTTTAGCTTTTTAACTTAACTTTTATTTTTTTAATTTAGCACTACCCAATCCTGATTTCAACAATCTCCGTAATAAATTAAATACTTCTCTGATATAACGGTCAGATACAGGATTCTGCAGTTTGATTTATTATACTACAGAGAATAATCATAATAAAACTTGACGTCTTCTCATTTTTTACACACAGATAAGTAATATATTCTGATAAGTCTCCTACTCTCGGTCAACAAATATTTAAACGAGAGAATCAGCTGATTAAAAAGGCAGTATTTTATTTTAAATAGCATCGTACGTTTCGCAAAATCTCTTTTAAATCCTCGACGGCGATCTCCTCGCGATCTTCGATCCGCACCACATTTCTACGTTTCCGGGAATCTAGATTTGATCCATAATTTGTGTGTGCATGTCCGTTTCACCCAATGTAGAGCAACTTTAATCTCTCTTTATTATACTCTTCATCTTTTTCTTAGAACCGAAATGAATTAGTTATCTATACATTCATCGAAATGGGCATTACAGGCCTAGATTAGAGGAATTTTGCAATTTATATATTATATACTCGTACAGGGTTGGCAAGTAACGCGTTATTTGTAACATCGTTACCGTTACAAGTTACTTTTTTCGGTAACGAATGGGTATAGAAAATAAAACGTAAAGCGAGTGTCAATAAAGCGTTATATTTGAGTGTAAAAGAAATGGGGGGAGTAACGGAAACGTAAACAAAACTTGTAAGAAGCGAAAATTGGAACATGGAACGTAAAGGAAGTGTCAACTAAACGTTAAAAAAGCTTATATTACAGAGTGTCCGTTGATTGTAAACGGAGCGTCATTAGGCTGAATAGAGAACGTAAACGGAGCATCGTCGAGTTCTTAGATGAACGTGAATAAAATTTGATCAAGGTGAGCAAATGATAATATTTAAAAATATATTTCATCTATTCGGTAAACATCTAAAAAAAAAACTATTATGCTTTATCTTGGAGCCTTTAGGGTTCCCTAAGGGCTCATTTCAAAAAAATTATTTCATTAGAACACAATTGAAAAATCTTTCAATATATCTTTTATCCCAGTCTGTGCGGTTTTTTAAATTCAAGAAAAAAAAAAATTAGTTCTCGCTGGTGGCGGTGCCGCGTACCACTCAATGACGCTTCGTTTACATTCGTTGTACAACTCAATGATGCTCCGTTTTAAAATAAATTTTTTTATTTCTATATCCTAGAAGTGTACACGAAGCGTATTTGAATGCTCCATATATACTCTTTGTGGAACGTTTAGAAAGTGTAAACGAAGTACCAATGAATGAAGTGTTTAGGAAGTGTATCGATAAGCTTCATGCACTCTTTGCGGAGTGTTGTGGAGTGTTTGGGAAACATTAATGAAAAAAAAAATTTTTTTAATGTGTAGGAAATGAGACAAATGTATTCCGGGCACACTTTACGGAGCGTTTGGGAAGAGTTCGGGGAGCGTGCATGAATATTCAAAACCATTAAGAGTCAATGGAAAGTCGATGAAGTGTTTAAAAAGCGTTAAAATTCTTTGTTCACACTTCTTTGACGCTTCGACAAGCTTTACATTTTCATCAGGGTAACGACATTACATTTTCTTCTGAGTAACGTTCATTGTAACGCAGTTACATTTTTGGGGTAATGGTAACGATTTCACTAGTTACTTTTATCGTTACTTTATTTCTAGCCATTGCCACAAAATTTTAATCGTAACTAAACCGTGTATATATATATTATGTATATATATATTATGTATATATATATATCAGTTTTTGAGCTTTATTCCTCTACCAAAGATAGAATTCTGACTTCTCTATTCAGAATATTTATTGCAAAAATAATATAGTAGCGTTTTTCATTGACAGAACTATAGTGCGCACTCAGTGCAATTTAAATCCGTACACAAATCGACGTAAATGTGTATGTTTAATAAAAATATAGAAACGTGATAAAAAAACCGCGAAACAAATCTTCAATACACTTTATTATGCTATTTGATAAAATAGCATAGTAAAATGTATTGAAAAATTTTAAATTAGATAAAATGCCCTTGGGACATTATATCAATTGAGATATTTCATTTTTACATTCAGATTAGAGCTAGTAGTGTACAACTTTAATGTGTACTAAATTTTGCCAATGAAAAACGCTATAATATTTTTATTAGCATCAAGCAAAAAAGTAACGAAAAAGTAACGACTCGTTACATTTTGAGTATCGGTAACGGTAACGAGTTACTTTTGCAAATCAATAACGAGTAACGATAATGAATTACTTCTGGGGAAAAAGAACGGTAACGGTAACGAGTTATTTTTATGGGGTAATGTTGCCAACCCTGATTATATATGTCAATATTGGCCATGTTCATATATTACTACCAGTACTGAAAATCTATAGTTTCCGTTACGTATACTATACTGTACTGACAACTGGCAATAATATACGAACACGGCCATTGTCAATGCAGTTTTTTTTTTTTTTTTATATATGCAGTTCCTTCTAGTTCTTTAACCACGGTGAATTTATATGCCATGACCGACAATATGCAGAAACGCAACATGGAATATTTTATCCAAGAATTTGACTTCATATTTGAGGACATATCAGGGAAATGTATGAACGTCGGCTCCAATTCCGGAGAGGTAACAAGGAACATGCTCCTACCGGCTCTTAATCAAGATGCAATGATGATAGGTAAAGAGGGAAAGGCAAGGCTGACAGAATCGTACTCTCTGAATTCTTTGGAGTAGAATCTCGCTCTTAGTGAAAATTAGAGTGAAAATTACCAGTCTTGAAAAAAGTATGATCAATTTTCGATCTTTAAGAGTGAGATTTCACTCTTCAAAGTGAGATTCACTCTAAGTTTTAAGGAGTAAGAGAGGTGACTCGGTTAATTATTATATCGACTCAATGAATTGTACACAAAGGTACAGACGCCTCCGAGAACATGGTCGAGTATGCGAATATGACGCATGGTATCGACGGTAAGCTCAGATTCGAAACATTGGACATTCAGACAAAAGATTTGCCCGAGAAATACATCGCCGAGTTCGACCACGTGTTTTCGTGTCCTACTTTGCATTTTTGCAACGACATCCGGTAAGGGACTTTTCGTCTTGTACCCAAGTAACATGCGGTTATCACGATAAGATCTAAATATTATTTTGACCACCATTTTACATAAAATCTTGATAAGAGGTATTAGGATATGGCTATATTTACACCGTGCATTTAGGCCGCGGCCTATACAATAGATGCTTTGTTTATCCTATATATTAAACAAAGACACCTATCGTATAGGTCGCGGACTAAGCGCACGGTGTAAACGTAGCCAAAGACACTTATCGATAGATCGCGGACTAAGCGCACGGTGTAAACGTAGCCAATGACTTTGACCAAACTCTGATTAACTTATATAATTGGCGGTTAACTTGATCTGAAGACAAAATCTCTAATATACAATTCGTTGTTCTTAATCTTTTTTCGAAATATTAAACATAATTCTATTAATTAATTCTAATAATTAATTTACTTTTATTTGTATTATTTAATAAAACAGTGCTGATTAAGTTAATCGTTTGGTTGAAGTCGTTCGAGTAGAGAGTCTTCTCATCAAGACGTCATATAAAGTTTTAGATGACATCTAAAATTTGATGAGTCATCATGAGTAATAAACCTTAATACCACAATCAAGTGTAATAAACCTTATACAAGATCCTTCGAAGCATTTCTCTACTTCCGTAACGCGATAAAACGCATTTCGAAAGTAAAGTTGATTCGAGTTTCACATGTTGACTTAATACCATTGCTCGAAAATATAATATAGATTGCAGATTCTAGGAAATAATCATGTTTATCTGTGCTAACAGACAGGGATTAGAAAACATTTACAATATGCTTCGACCAGGCGGGACTTTCTCGATGCTATGGGTATCTTCTCACGACATGTTTAAAATTCTTGAAATTATGGCAGAGAACAAGCGCTTTGCATCGTATTTGTACGTGAGTATCGCTGTTTAAGCTATTTTACTGCCTTATAATTTTCCCGAGTTGCTAATCGTTACGCTTTGCTTTCACGTGGGACGTGAAGAAATACATCGCGCCGTTTCCAAATACGGACAGACCTCAAACAGAGTTAAAAGAATTACTTCGAAGCATCGGATTTATAATTTGTCACTACAGTAATCGGGAGATGATAAACATAATCGAAAACAAAAAGCCGCACGATTTTTTGCGTAAGTACTTTTATGCCTGTTTTTACCAATTAATTTAATTTTAATCTTCAACTAACTTATCTTTTTTTAGTTCTCAGAATTAAAAAAAAATTAAAAGTACGTTGAATCGAGATTAAAATTAATCTATAGAAACAGGCATAAAATTTGTGTCGTTTACGACATGAATTTTTTGCCTTCATTGAAGAAAATATAAATTCACATTAATTTCATTATTCCTCTTTTCGTGATTTCAATAGCCGATATTATGTCTGCCTTTTCATTTTTGCACGAAATGCCATCTGATCGAGCGGAGAACTTTAAGATGGAGTTTATACGCGAATACTCGAAAATTACGGAAGGAAAATACATGTGTAATAGTGGTAAGCCGCTGATAGTAGACATATACAAAGTACATATAGCGTACGCACGAAAACAATAGAATAGATAATAAATCATGTATGAATAATATTGTGTAATAATTACGTATATGTATTATTTAAATTATTTGTAGAAAATTCATTATCGGTCGATTTATTATTATATATGTACCTATTAGTCAAATATTGCACATTTATAGATAAGAGATAAGAAAAAATTTGGATGCTGTTAAATTTAAAGAAATTAAATTGAGAAAATCATGCGTTTCGTAGGTTTTCCCCGTGTCTAGATCCATTCTTGGAATGCTAATGTTTCGTGAACCTTGCAGTTCACTTTATCAAGGCGAGGAGCAATACTGAGCTGTTCCTCCGGGTCGTTCCCTTTATATTACGCTGCTTGTTGGAATGGTGGGGGGAGAAGAAAATTGCGGGTGGAGGGGAAAAGAAGTCGGTCGGTCTTCAGTAACCTTGTTCTCCTCTTCCACCCACTTCTCCCCTCCACCCACAATTTTCTTTTTTCCCCCTCCCCTTCCATTCCAACAAACGGCGTAATATAAAGAGAATGGCCCGGAGGAGCAGCAGAGCAGCTCAGTATCAGGCTGCTCCTCGCCCTGACGAAGTGGACTGCAAGGTTCACGAAACGTTGGCATTCCAAGAATGGATCTGGACACGGAGAAAATCCGCGAAACGCATGATTTTCATATAGGAAGCACCCGTGGAAGCCTCAAGAATATTATATTGAGAATATTTCAAGCAGACATCAAGTCACGATAAAGTCAAAATGACATTAAAATGAATCGGAAATGATTGAAAAATGACTTTTAATGATCGTTTTGGAGTCATTTTGATATCATAATGACTTGATGTCCTGCTTGGGATCTATTTTCATTTTTCGCAATAATTCTTAACGCTATTCGTTATCTATTATAATAAAACTAAAATGAGGATGAGATGTGTGTACATATATATTATATAACTACGCTTTGAGATAATATATTTATTTCTTATTAATATGGAGTTTTCATCAACAATAACAGTGTAGCAGTAGGCGTAACAAGAGAGACGAGGTAGGTTACGAGGAACCTATCCTAATGTCGTACGCCAACAAGTCACCGCGGTTGGAAGGGATCCTCGTGGCGTCTATTCCTTCGTTCTTCGTTCATCATATTTATGTGCTACGACGCCGAGCTATCGGTCGCTAATCGGAGAGGAGCCGGACGCGTAATCCAAACCACTCCTCCGCGTGTAAAATCTTGGCACATTCATTTAATCCTCGAGTTACGTTATCGCGAAGCATGTGCAGTCTTATCGGGCATGTTTCAAGCGATTCATAACATAAACACAATATATATTCGAAGTGTCGTGTTTCAACACGAAGAATATTTCATCCCTCTTGATATTCCTATCGGTACTGGAAACTGGTATCTTCTGCTTTTCGTCGTTTTGCCATCTCTCTTTCACAAAGTTGTGTCATTAAATGCACAAAGAAAGTAGAGTGATAATAAGTATGAGTTAAGAACGACCCGGTACGACCGCTCGAGGATTAAACTATCGCTTTATGCGCATTTACGGTTCGCATTTAATAATGTGCAGCGTCGAGAAACGAGGTACACGCCACGGTAACCCATTTTTTTTTGCAGTTATACGAAACGGAAGAGCCACATACTATGTTAATCTCTTACGATTAATTATTCCGTAAATTCTAACGCGTTACATTACGTTATAGCCGATCCTTCCTTACCAAGTAACAAATCAAGACGTCGCATACTGGAAGGAAAACCTATAGCTGCAACAGCTGACGGAGATTTCTCGGTATTGTTTGTCGCGATTGTGCGTTGGCGCGTTGAGGAGCACGGAGACGATGCAATTTAATAGTATAATAATTTACTTTCATTTCAAGTAAGAAAAAGTGTTAACATGCTAACAGTTTGCCAGTTTGGCATCAACTCAGTATCTTTGTCGATATAATTTGATAATAGATTGTCAGCAGAAACCGAGCAGAATTTATTATTTCGTAAACAATACATGGCATATCCTATTTAAATGAAACGTATCATTTAAATGGAATATCGTTTAAATGGTTAAGAAAAAGCAAATTTCTACTGGCAATGCAATGTTCCATTAGCAGATTTTATTTCTGCTGACAGCCAATAAAATTTATGGTGAAAATTACTTTGTGAAATCTGTTTCTGATAAATTCAGCTATCTATGAGGACACAAAATGAAAAAAATTGCATTATTGGTATTAAAGTGATAACTGAAAATGTAATAAGCGCCGCGAAATCAATTATTCGCGAATATAGAGCGATATTCGCTTTGCAAAGATAAACACTGCGGAATAAGTACTGGACAGCAGCATGCGAGACATTTGCATATTAATTCATCACTTAGCAGGATAGGATCCGTTCGTTCGACAATATCAAATAGTGGTATTACTTGGCAGGATTCCAAAATCAACGTAACAACAGTTCAAATTATGGCAGTGCTTTGTAGAATAATCTTATTGCCCGTTAGTGAGTGAATTAATATGATGCCATTAATCAACGTGATAATGATAATGAGAGTGACTCGATCATGTGATCCGATAACTCAATCCGCCGTGAATGCGTTTCTCGAAACCTACGGACTCTCCTTTGTTCTAATTGGTGTATTCGTTTGCCCTCGTCTTTTCCGCGAGTTTTTCTTTTTTTTTTTTCTTTTGTGCTTGTCCTCTTTCGTCATCTATTACGTCGACTTACGACGATCTCACGATTTTCTTCGCATTAAGTAATACATTTCGGGCCGTACCCGTTCTCCATCGCACCGTCGCGTCGTCGAGAACACGAGATGCGCGGAGAAATGGTGGAAAGAGAAGAGCGAGTGCACTCTACGCGATCTCGGATATCGCACATTGGAAACTCATGTATCACGGAGAAAAACGCGTGGAATGTAGTATATCTTCATTTATCGTTTGTAGGCCGGCAATTCCAGATACATATATATACATTGATATATAATAAGTACAGCTATATTGCAATGAGATCAACACTTCGAAGAATACTTTTGATGGTAAACATTCAAAGAATAGTTGTAAGTTATCGAACGAGAGAGCACAGATTATTTATTTATTTAGAGTGTAATTTCGAAAACGGTGGAAAACTCCCCTTCGATCACCTTTCCCTTTTCTCTCTCTCTCTCTCTTTCTCTTTCTCTCTCTCTCTGAGAATTGTTACGCTGAGATTACATCTAGAAATTGATGATTCCAAACGCTCATCGACATTCGTCGTTATCGCGACAGAGTTGCGACCGCGCGGAATTGCATCTCAGAAGGAGGTAACGGAGACGACGATAACGACGAGATAAGTACATTTTGCTCTTATCTTTCCGTGCGTGTGATGTCTAACAGGCTCTTGTTGGCGCACAAAGACGTAGGGGGGCTCGACCTTTAATTCAGTGCAATAGTGTTCCTTCAGGGGGTATCTAATAGAAGACACGTTATGTACAAGGGACATCCTCGAGAGAGACATTAGAAGGGGATTTTTTTCCCCCAACTTATGAGAACGAAACAACGCGAAGGAAAACGAAGAGAGAAGAAGGGGGTGGAGAGAGAGCTCTACTGAACTAAATTACTGGAAGAACCCACACGTTACGAGGAGAATTACAGCTTATATAAATTAATTTTAATAAGTCTATCTTTGATTTCTTTAGGCGCGGGTGACTCTAGACTGGCCCCCTATATGTTTGTATTTTGATCACTTCCTGAATTAATTGCAGCACAGATTACGCCTATATAGTCTGCCGTGAATGGTTTACGTGAAAGGTCCGTCTTAGATGGACCCGGTTCCATCAATGTAAGATTAATTTTAATCTCGGTTTAACTTACTGTTTATCTTTTTCTAATACCCGTGTGTGTTTCTACTACACATATAATATAATTTAATTTTAATCTCTTTAACTGACTCTTTATCTTTTTCTAGTTCTAAGATGAACCGAGATTAACCCTTTGAAGCATATATTTTTCCGAAAAAAAAAAAGGGTTTTTTATCTTTGTTTATTTATAAAACTGTTACAATAAATAATAAGGACTGCTAAACTATTTTTTAATAGTCTTCTACTTCTAAGACACCAGGAAAACACAAAAAACCAGACCTAAATGCGTCAATTAGAAAATAAACGACCACAAACTGAAGAAGTTTAGGTGGTAACGTGGGTTATTACCATGCTTCAAAGGATTAAAGTTAATCTCATTAGTAGAAACGGGCATTAGAATTAAAACAAGATAATGAGTAGATTGAACCAAGATTAAAGTTAATCTTACATCGGTGGAACCGGGCTTTAGCTTCTCCTTCGGCAAATTAGCCCAGCGATATGACGGAGAAGAGTAAGTTTTTGAAGGGTCGATGAGAGAAGCGAGCGAGAGCTGAGTGATGGTGCGTTTCACGTGACAAGACACCACGTGTCTTAGTAAACGTAGGCGAGACGCAGCGTGTCGTGCATGCATGTGCGTGTGTCATCGGCGGAATCGTTTAGCGCGCTCGTAAAAACGCTTGGCGAGTTTCGCTGAGCGCAAACCTGGGTGCGGTGACCCCTTCGTAGGTGCAATCATTCAGGACACTTTCATCGATTTCGAATGCGCGGCTCCGGCGCGACGCGACGTGACGCAAAACGCATCGCGTCGCGTCGAATTGACGCACGTAGGACCGAAGGAACCACCCTCGAGATTACGACTAGCGACGACCTACTTAACGAGGACAATGACGCTCTAGCTCTACCGGAAAAGTATAGTCTGCTCCCACGGCGGCTCGTCCGCGTTCAACCGTCGGCGACCGTCGCCGCCGCGTTTCTGGGAAAATTGTCGCACGTACACTCACACACGGAGAGATCTACCCACTAAGGACTCGACGAGGAATTTAGTTTAAATTTTCTGAATACAATAGCGTTCTACCGAGGAGAACTATGAAACTAAATGTCTATATTATACTCTATCGTACAATATAATATAGTGAAATATTCGAGTACAGTACAGTACTAGTTTTAAGTAAAGTATCTTTTTTTTTGGGCGGATACGACTACTCCTCTAAGGCCTCGCTCATATGAATCTTCCCGTTCTCT